AGCGGCAGAAAGACAGGAGAACAGAGGACCCCAAAGTCTGACACCAGCTTTGTTTATTACTGTTGTTTTTTTTTTGTCCACCAGTGGGGCCAGGCCATTAGAAGCCCTCCCACTGTTATTTATTTATTTAAAGATTTTTATTGTTTTTAGACAAAAGGTTAACAGTAAAATCGAGAACAGTGTAAAATTATGCTTAAATACACACATCTTAACATATGTAAATTTTGCTTCTTTTTAGAGCTTTGGACAACTTACATGATGGTACACTGCCTTGAGGACCACATACAGTGGGAAAGTGGTCCTATTTTAAAATAAATGAATAATGTTTTGGACTCTGTACCTGAAAACTGGTACGCATTGTAAGACAAACAAAAACACACTGGGCTACTGCCAAAAATGGCATCCCTGCGTTCTGTTCCTTAAAAGTTACCCAGCAGTCCTGAAGCCATCACACTGTGAATTTCCTCACCCTGCTGTACTTGGCCTCTGGTGGGGACCAGGAAGCAGAACTGTGCAATGGGACAATGTCGGGATACAAAGCATAGCTTCACAGCATCTCACAAAGAAGAGAGAATGCAACGCAAGACTGCCATTTTCAGTGGCAGCCCCATCCTGTAACACTGGAGTCCCGAGGCTAGGAAACAAAACCCAAAGCCAAACCATGGTACACAGAAAGGCTAACTCCTCTACAGTGAAAGATCAGGAGCCTAGGCATCACCTGTACCTGATAACAACATCGTATTTGTTAATCGTGTCTCCCATGGAACTGTTTCTGAGCCGGTGTCCGTTCCCCACCACTGCACATCTCCGGCACTTCAAACTGCAAAAGAGAAAAATTGACATCTGAACTCTAAAGCCAGGGGTGGGGAGAAGCCATGTGATGAAATGGATTTACCCACATACCTTGGAAATCAGAATGACTGGAGAGCATGTGCAAATGCACACATGGTGGTGGGAAGAATGGCAAAGCGAGCACTGCTGCATGGCCCAGGTCTTTAAATGACACTCTAAGTGGGTCTGAACTAAACATGACCAATTCTACCTTTAACTAGACTCAATGATGTGCAAGCCTCTTTCTCAGCGAATGTTATCAATTGTGCAGAGTTAGGAAAAGACAAACAGAAAGCATATTGCCGTTCTTCACAGCTGAGATTCTCTCTAGCCCAGCATGAGAAAGCAACTTTACAATTACTAGTTGAGATGCTTCTTCCTAAGTGATCCGCATAGATTTTCTTAGCCATCATTATAACTGACACCACTCCTGCAAAGCAGGCCACCTTCCTTATCTTCCTTATACATGAAACAGACTGGTAGACGTGTCTAAAATTACCCAGAGCTGAATGAGCTCTGAACAGTAGATTTCTAGCTCACAGCTCATTCTGTTAGCAGAGGAGAAGGAGAAGAAGGAGTTGTTTTTTATACCCTGGTCTTCACTACCCGAAGGAGTCTCAGAACGGCTTACAATCAGGGCTATTTTTGGGCAGGAACGCACAGGAACGGAGCTCTGGCTGGCTTCAGAGCTGGTCACGCCCACTACAGCCAAAACCTCTGCATGCCTGGCTACAGAGGGAAGGCCTGGAGAGCGACACCCCCGCAGCAACTCCGAGGCGGGTGGGCCAAGGGGGGCCCTGCCTCCCCATGCCTTCCCTGGCCTGTCCAAGGGCTGGCTTGCCCGGGCTCCCTGCAGCCATACGGTGCCCGGGCAAGCCAAGGGAAGGCATGGGGGTATGGCCTATAATGCTAATGAGCTGCGCTGTCAGGGGTGTGGCCTAATGTGTTAATGAGTTTCTGCTGCTGGGTGTGGCCTATTATGCTAATGAGTTCCTGCTGGGCTTTTTCTACAAAAAGAGCTCTGCTTACAATCACCTTCCCTTCCTCTCTCCACAACAGACACCCTGTGCCATAGGTGGGGCTGAGAGAGCTCTGAGAGAACTGTGACTGTCCCAAGGTCACCCAGCTGGCTTCATGTGGAGAAGGAGTGGGGAATCAAACCCAGTTGTCCAGATTAGAGTCCACCGCTCTTAACCACTACACCAAACTGGCTCTCTAAGTTGCCCCAGATGTTCTTTTTTATGCATAAATATTTATCACCAATGTTTCTTCCATACAAACTTAAGGGCCAAATAAAAAATCAGATTCTGTGCACATAAAATATACTCTCCAAAACCAAAGAAAAGGGAAGTGGCCGACATAAGACTTGGTCTAAATTTGCTCAAGTTAAAGCAACCATTCCTTGAGTTGCCTGCAGAACCTACTAGCACTTCCGGTCCATAAAATGCAGAGCTCTTCACCATGATCAATATGACTCAGCAGCAGAAAACAGTTGAGAAATGGTAGGCTTGATGTCCCACAATATCAGACAATTGGTCCCATAATCACGTACGAAACAAGTCCTACAGTGCATCAGTCTCCATATTGGTTTAATACCCCATGGGGTCAGGGGGGAAAACTACCTATATTGTATGGGTGTCAAGAATCCAAGACATATTGTCTAATTTTGGCCTGTTAGCCCTCTAACTGGCAGGTGAAACCGTAAACATGAACATTCCTTCACCCTCAGACGAGTTCACCTAAACCACAAATGACTGATAATTCAGCTTCTCGCACTTCCACCCAAATCACCAGCCATTACTTTCCCTTTGTTTTCGCTTTACATTGCACAACCACCATTCAGAGGATTTGCTTCTGTTTTTAACACAGACAGGCAGGCTCCTGGCTGTGACTCAGGACCGTGACTTCATATCCTGGAGCAAGTCTGAGACTGTAGGTCAGACGCTGGATTAAGGACGGCAGTCGGGGAGTCTGACGAATTGGATTAAGGACGGCAGTCGGGGAGTCTGACGAATTGGACAGCTTGTGGCAGAAACCACTACGCAACCGCTTCCAAATGAGGCTCCGGCAGACTCTTGGTAGAAAAGAGGTCTATCAGGAATGGCCCCTAATACTCAGAAGTCCAAAGAACTGAAATTTGTGGGAGGGAGAAGCAAACGCAGTTTGGCAGATGGAAACCAAGGATGACTGGCAGGTGCCACGGACACAAGCACAAGGGCCCATCCTTTTCAGCCTGGAGACAGAAGTAGAGCTCTTTCCCCTCTTCCCCCCTAGAAACTCAAGGTGAACTCAATGAAAGATCACTGCTCATGGTGTATATATATTCATCCGTGCTCTTACCTCTGGTTAATGGGCTTTGGAGGGTTTTGTAGCATTTCAAAAAGCCTCTCTGACTGGAGGCAACAGGGGGGAGACAAAACAAACATTTGTGTATACACTAAGGAAAAGCAGAGTATCTCACAGATGACTTTCGGCTCTTTCAAAAGCAATATTCTCTCTCCAGCCTAATAACTGGGCAGGTGCAAGAATAATGGCAGGTGCATTCTTCCCCCCCTCCAAACCCCTGCTGCACCAAGGCGTGAAATTGCCTCATCTACACAACTATCAAAGATACCAGGAGACTGAACGCTGAAACACCAGCCACTAGCCTCCTGCGTCCAAGGCCGAGAGAAGGCTGTTTATGTCATATCCCCCCTAGTTCTGAAAGGCATCAATGCATCTTAACATAGGAAGGTGCCTGTAATGATTTAAAGTTTTAAGGGTGTGTTTCTTTAAATGCTTGGTAAGTTGCAGAAGAACAAAAGGTGAAAGAGGGGGATGAGTGAGTGAGGTGATTGGTTGGTGACTGAGAGTGTATGGAGGGAGAGAAGGTGGAAATTATCAGGCTGTCAGCAGTTTAACACTTAACAGTCAGTTGTGGTCAGTCAGCAGTCTACAGAGCCTGAGAGGTAGTCTTCTGATCAGAATCCCATATTAGTACTGTGAAAAGCATTTAAGATTCTGAAAAGGAAGTAGACTACTTTAGAGGACATATTGGCAACTAGAGAGAGTCAAAAACCTAATATTGTAAAAAGTATTATAAGTGTGTGAGAGTGAAGCTGACAGGTAACAAAGTTAAGAAGTGGAAGATTAAACTGAGCTAAATAAAATAAAGATTGGACAAAGTACATTCTAAAGAGAAAGAAGGATTTGAGAGTGAGGAGTGTTTGTGGAGTGAAAGAGTTGTGATACCTCAGTTAGAAGTTATCCATACACTCTGTTTTATTCACTGAAGAGATAAGTTACAAAACATCTTGAAACCTATATGCTTCTTGTACAAATAAAGTTTTGTTTGTTTTATGAAAACCTAGAGTTATATGCTATTACGATACAACAGTCTCATATTCAGGACCACATAATCCAATGAAGGAGCCTTAGAGCTCGGGCACAATACTAAGGGGAAAGTCGAATAATAAGATTTGGAATTAAATTCCTGGTGGCAGCATTACATCCCTTGAGTGAAAGAGACAACAAGAAATTTAAAAACACATCATATCTACCCACAGATTAAAAGAGAGTAGCCGTGATAGTGCCTTATATGCGGCCCATCTGTGTAGACCAACACTGTCTGCTCTGACGGCCAAAGACTCTTTGGATTGTGAGCCAAGAAAAATCTTTCTCTTCTCTACTTACAACTCACAAAGTTGGGGTCTTAACCAATGCTACCTTTAAGTTGTGGAGTCTTGTGAGCAAAAATTCTACTTTGTGAGCTACTGGCATTAAAGTTGTGAGCGGACAAGTTGCCTGCTGCATAAATTAGCTTCCTCTGGAGCCATCCTTCCTGAGCTAAGACAAAAATGTGTGAACCGGAGGTTAAAAAACTGTGAGCTAGTTCACACTAACTCAACTTAGAGGGAACCCTGGTCTGAACCTGCTCTGCCACTGCAGTATGGCTCATGTGCTAACTGTTCCTTCTCCCTGTATAAATTCTTTAACTGCTTAATGAGGCCAAAGAATATGCTACACAGTCTTCGCATCACATCTGGGTCTGCCATAGAGACTTTCTATCAGACGCACACTGTGTGATCCGTGTTGGGAATTCAGTTCCCAGGTCCATGGAGGCGTGGTTCAGATTGGGACCCTGGCATGTGGAGCTTACACTTTCCCCCACCATGCACCATCTTTCCAACTTGAAGGTCTTGAGGAAGCTGCTATCTGTCCCACTGGGGCTCCACTTGTTCTGATGGAGGTACACATAGGAATAGCAGCCCCCTGGACCTGATTAAGGTTGGGGAAATGGGCTGTGGGAAGGGAAGGTTTAAGTTCCTTCTCTCCAGGCACCATGAGTCTGATTCCCATTGCTCCTCCCCCTGGCCTATGAACAGACTTACCACCAGGGAGCTTGCAGAACACGTCTGATAGAAAGTTCTCATGGCAGGCCCTGGACACAAAGCAAGGACTATGTAACAGCTTAGACTGAACATATGAAGCTGCCTTATACTGAATCAGACCACTTGCCCATCAAGTTCAATATTGTTTACTCAACTGGCAGTGGCTTTCAAAGGTCTCAGGTGGAGGTCTTTTGTATCACCTTCTACCTAATCCTTTTAATGGGATGTATAGAAATATTGCTTTCTAAATTCTCATGCCTTCTCCTGTGATGATATTCTGTGTCTCTGCTTCCTGTTGCAGGCCAAATGGTAAGACCAGATGGCCTGAGCCACTTAATAGACATTCCTTAACACCTCTCTGCTAAGAGCCAGACTTGAAGGCTCCTGGCCTACGTAGTACACAATGGAGAAGCTGGAAGCTGGATCACCTGACTGCAGGATACGTAGGCCATGTCACGTACACAATGGAGAAGCTGGAAGCTAGATCACCTGACTGCAGGCAGGGCCTCCAAACTTCTAGCCAATCCCCCCACACACACCTGATGTGCAGCTATGGCAACCAACAATTAAACATGTACCCGTGCTGCTCGTGATTAGCTGATGGCCACAGCTAATTATG